TCTGATCTGAAGTTCTCAAAGAATTTTGTCAAAATACAAACTGAATTTTAACCTTGAATAAGAGTAATGATTTCTTAAGTGTAACTAAATTTGGGAAAATATATAATGTTTGTATGTAGTTTGTACTTATATATAGTAATAGTACTTTCCACATAGTCAAAGCACATACAAACATTAAGCATGCTGATACTATGGTAATAAGGGCCATACAAGTTTGAACATTGGCCTGCTAAACCCAGGGTTGTGAGTTCAATCCTTGAGGGGGCCATTTAGGGATTTGGGGCAAAAAAAATCTGTCATGGGGATTGGTCCTGCTTTGATCAGGGGGTTGGACTAGATGACCCCCTGAGGTCCCTTCCAACCCTGACCTTCTATGATAAGTACCTAGCCTAATTTCTAAGTCATTTTCAATACTTCTATGAGGTACCCAGTCACCATAAGTATTATCCCCACTTTCTAGAAAAGGATACTGATGCAGAAAAAAAATACTTAAAAAAAATACACTCAAGACCACAGAAGAAGTCTGTATCAGAACTAGCATTAGACTTCAGGAGGTCTTCTCTCCCAGCTCTCTGCTCAGAGTACACCCATCTCTAAAGTAAAACTAACAGTGATCTTTAGAGCCCTAGATATAATCTTACTGGTCCCTAAAGGCCAAGCAGGGCATAAAGGTACAACTGCAAACTTTATCACTCCTATTGGGCCATAAACATGTTGCTTTCCCTGGGCTCCATTATTAAATTTAAAATCCAGCCTTAACTTGAATTGTCATGGAATCTGGGACAAGAGAGAGCTAAAAAGAGACAGGTTTTCTTGATAACCGAGTGCGAACCAATGATTCTTCTGATTCAACCTATGGAGCTAGAGCACCCTCATTTACAGCCAAGGCATGTGAAGATACAAAATACTGCAAAGGTCATTCATCTAGCAGAGCCAACACATTCTAATAAAGGACAATTACTTTTCAGGTGACAGACCTCAGAGAGCAAGAGATAAACGAGTACCCAAAGTATCTTTTCACGCAAAGTAAATGGGTTTTGGAAATGAGTCTTTCCAGATTTAGAGATACATCTAGGCAACTTAAATTTGTTCAGTTTCCATTAGCTTTAAGAATAGACTGTCATTTAATTATTAAAATGTCAGCCCAGAATACCCACCATAACAGTTCCTTGTCTTTCATAATTTACTAGTAGGAAGAAACATAAGAATTCATACCAAATAGCTTGTAACTTTATATCAGTTCAGGGCTAGCTGCACCTTTGACACTGCTCTGGTCTGTCTCTGAGTACAGGCCAACCAGATTTAGGCCTTGAGGTTTGGGGTGAAACATGTGACTCTCCCACTCTTAGAACTGGGGCCCTGGGCTACAGCCCTGTGTGTACCACCTCTAATTACGCTTAATGGGTCCTGCAGGACTCGGTATCTGCAGTTCTTCCTTTTGGGAGCTGTGACCAGCAGTAAATACAATGAACCAAACAGCTTTCTTGAAACAAAGTATTGTTTAATCCTAACAGCAGGAACACAGCATAACAAGAGAAAGAATTCTGAAAGCAATAAACCAGTTTATACACATAACTATCTTAGGCTTATCTACACAGCAAGTTACTGTTCAGCAAGCCTGGGTATGAATCTATAGCTCACCAGCTTGCCACACAGCAACATCCTATGCAGCTGTTGCAGTGCAGTGAAAGCCCCAGAAGGCATCTTGGTGTACTACTACTTCAAAGTGTAATATGCCAAGAAACACTCCAGGACTTTCACTGAACCCTAGCAACGTCCATATAGACCATTACTGTGCAGCAAGCTGGTGAGTTGAAGATTCATAACCTGGCTTGCCATGTGGTAGCTTGCTGTGTACAAAAGCCCTTATTTAAGAGTTAGGCAGGCCTATTTTACCCCCATTCTCCCAACCCTCTGTAGTCTGGGTTTCAGTCTGCTCCCCAACACTATCTGCTTAAGTCTCCCCCTTAACCATCTGACCTCCTCAAGAATGTGTGTCCGTCTCTTTAAACCCTTTGATTTCCCCCCCTCCCCAGGGTTGAGTCATTCCTGGAAAAAACAGTTTAGCAAGCCCAGTGGGGAGGGAAGGGGGAGGGATATGTCTATCCAGCACATTACAGCCAATGGCTCCAGCACTGTCCATTCAGTTTTTGCTGATAAATATTATCTGAGCTATTGCTCTCTTCCGCCTACCTGCAGGTAAACAGTCTCTTTGGTGAATTAACCCAGTTTAGTCACACGATGAAGCTCCTAGAAATAATCACACAGAACCATAGTATTCATAATCATAGGCAGCTCCAAACCTAACACAAACACGTTGCCCCCCCACCCCCCCAAAAGCCATGAAGCCTGATTTTCAAAGGTGCTAAGCACCCACTACTGCAACTGAAATCAAAAGAAGCTGCAAGTATTTAGCACTTCTGGGGGAATAAATAAATCAATCCCATAGCTTGAAAGGTCACAAGATGATAATTAGGACAACTAAGGCTTTGTCTACACTACACAGTTGTGTCAGCAAAAGGCAGCTTTTGTCGACAAACCAGTGGAGATGTTCACACTACAATGCTCCTCCCACCAACAAAACTCTTCTGCTTTGCCAGCAAAATAAAACCATTTTGACAAGAGGCGTAAAGCTTGTTCTGGCAAAGTTAGATCGACTCATCTACACTAACAAGTTCTGTCACCAAAAACTGCCTTTTGGCGACAAAACAGCAAGAGCGTACACACTACCAGGGCCGCCAAGAGCGGGTTCAGGCGCCGGTGAAAACAATTTTTTGGGCCCCCCCAGCAAGGGCAGACCGGCTAAACAGGGCCAACGAGGGGGGAAGCCGGGCCCCGGACCCCCTTCTGGACTACCGGGCCCCAGTAATTTGTACCAGCTTCCCCCCCTCCCCCCCCCCCCCCCCCGTCAGCCCTGCACACTACAATGGGACTTCTGTCATGAAAAACACCCAGTTTTGGTCACAAAAAACTTCCACCTCTACGAGAGACTTGTCTTTTCCCCTCCCTTCGTTGACGACAAAGAGCTAGAGTAGACACTGCTGATTATTTTGTCCACAGAACTGGCTTCTGCCAGTATCCCACAATGCCTGCCCTGATTGCTCTGCTCATTGTTTTGATCTCTGAAGTAACGGTATGCTGCTTGTTTTAGGAACAAAGTGTGGTTAAGCAGCTCTATGTGGGTTTGAATATGTACTATCAACATCATACAGGGGGAAATTATAACTTCACCTACAGTGTTGTTGCATACATTTCACCAGGATATTACTGACCAGCAAGATATTACTTTTCAAATGATACCTCACAAGGCATATTTTGTACAAAGATTATTACAGTGGTGTATAGGGTGTGAATACAAGGATGCATTGGGTCACACTGGGATACATACCCATGGTGCATTGCTCACACTGTCGATGATGGTGCCCCCAATGTTGACATGATCTGTCGACAGAGGGAGCAAGTGTGAATACCCTTTGGCGATTTGTTTTGTCGACTTTCAGGTGTCGACATAAGTTTTGTCAACAAAACTTGGTTGTGTAGACAAGCCCTTGGTGTCAGTATAGAGACTGCATTCATTATGTTGCCGTAACTGGCCTCCAGGAGGTATCCTACAATGCCCACTGTGACCACTCTGTTCACCATTTTGAACTCTGCTGCCATGCATCCAGCTATACAAGCACGCATCCCTCCCCTTTCAAAGTCCCAGGAAATTTTGAAATTGCTCAGCATGCAGAGCTCACATAACTACTGCCCAGCTAAACTCGCCGGCTCTCAGCAACAAACACATTCTTGCCAGAACTACAGGGAAAGGGATGGATTTCCTTGGTCTTTGGGGAGAGAAGGCTGTGGGAGAACTCAGAGGGAATCAAGGAATCAAAAGATTAACACTGAATCCTGCTCTCCCCGGCACTAGTACCACAGTGGCAGGAAAGCAGGGCGGGCTGTTGCTGGGACAGAGGTGGGGGCCTCCTGCTGTGCTATGAAGAGCCAGGGAGAGAGGTGGGGGCTGATGTAGGGGTGTCCTCCTCCCCCTGCCAGAGATGGCTGGGCTGCAGGTTACCAGAGCAGTTGAAAAGCAGCAAGCAATCTAGTTGGATGCTCATGGAACAATGGGATTGAGAAAGTGACGCTGTACCTGCCCCGTAAGGCACTGCAAACCCTTCCCAAAGCACCCTGCAGCCATTTGCATAGTGGGATAACTATCCACAATGCCCTTCTCTTGTGCTGCTATTGGGGATGCACTCCTCCCACACAAGAAGTCTAGTGTGGACATGCAACAGCAGTTTAATTCCAGTGGTGGCTGTATGTCAGCGTAACTTGTGTCAACAAAACTAGTGTAGACAAGGCCTAAGTGTTTAGCTTAATGATTCTAGTGTGCCAATGATGGGGTATATACCCGCCCTTAAAGATTCAAATAAAGTTTAGTTAGTACAAACTAAAGTTTCACATTACATTGATATGGAAATACTACCACATACAGAGGTTTCTTTCGCAAAACGCAGTCAAACTCAAATTGCTGTAAGAACTTGGGAATGTAATATCTGATTTCACAACGCCTCTGAAGTTATCTAGGATTTCGATATTGGTGAATCATCCCAAAAATCATTTGTGATATTTCATGAGAATCTAGTCATGTGTACATTATTCATAATCTACAATATTACTTGTCCATTACTATTTTTCTAAAAACACATACGCTCTCAGAAGCAGAGCGCGAAGATGCTTCTTGACTTGAGAGTCAAGAATGTATTTGCAAAAATACAAAATATGTTAACAGCGTAGCTTTCAGACTGTGACTAGCGAACCGGTGGTCCATGGAACTTGTCCTTGATAGACAGCAGGAAGAAACATTTTTGAGAACCAGCAATTTGTGGATGGGGTATTCGGTAGAGAGTTGGCACCCAGTAAGTGATCCTGCTCTTACAAAATAGTCTACATAATGAGTTGGAGAACCAAAGCATAGCTCACTAAATATGTTATTTTAGATAATTATCTCTCACCTTCCTTTTTTAACCATTTCACAATATTTCCTTCCTCCATTGTAGGAGACAGTGCAGGCATGAGTATTTTAAATGCAGGAATACCTGGAAAACAAGACACTGGAATTAACCACTAAAACCTTTGCTTATCACACAGTTAATACAGTTGAGATCTCTGAGAAAGGAAAGAAATGAGAGTTAAAAGCAAAATGAGTGAATGGGCAAACAATCCAAGGAAATAAATAAAAATATCCACCCTTGTTCTGTAATTCATTAATGTTAATACATCTTACAAATCTTAACTTGTTCATTATTGTGCTATAGTATATATACACACTACTGAAAGAGAAAGTTACTATTTCTTTACAAGTGTACTTATGGAAGAATGCTTATTTATTCAACAGCGGAGATAAAACAAGATCTATTTTTTTCATCCTTTCCGGATACAATGTGGACCTTTTCTGCAAAGTGAAAATATTGTAACAAATTTTAGTATGCTTGCAGGCTATAAAGATCTTACACAGAAAGAAAACAGAGTTCATTTATTCCCCAAAGTCTCTGTAGAGCCACACCCAAGGGGTCATCATCCCTAAAGCACATGAATTGTAAAACTGAGTTGAAGTTATACATGGTTCATGCTCCCAGAAAGTCCACAGTGCAGAAATATAAATAAATTTGCTCCTGCCTTCTATTCTTTAATTAGTTCTCTCTTGTTCCAAATCAGTCATAGAAACTGACCTGTCTTTGCTCTGGTACTTAAATTATTTAACTTTAGCATTACTCATTATTTTAGCATTTGTAAAAGTGAATCCAGAGACTATTCCCAATCAAATTCTGTTCTGTGGCTGTATTATCCACAGGGATTAATAATCTTTCTTTCTGATCACTGTTGGTCCAGGACTAGTGCTTAGAAAAGTTACTGGTCCTGAGAATATTTGTACTAGTTTGCCAAACCCTGTTTATCCTTGAGAATATGTGAAATAGTGCACCTCACAGCATGGGTCCATGGCTTTTTTTACTCAAATATTTTCACTATGTTATCATATTATGGACACCCAGAATTAGAAATTATCACTGTATAAGACTTGAAAGCTTTCATAAAATACACAGACTTGGTTCCAGTTCTAACAGTCTGTTTTGAGACACTGGCCTCAATTAGTATATCAAACCTGAAAGGCTGAGAATAAAACATGATAATAAGAATACTGTGATTTAAAGTGCTTAGGTCATGAACATTCAATAATTTTATTAAGGTTTACCACAACTCAGTTTCCACACAAGCATTTCTTTATTAGTCCAAAGGCCACTTGGTGCTGGCTACATCCAAAATACAAATATAAGCATATATACCTGTATTCTATACCTTAGTAACAATAACAGTTACTGTATAAGCATTGGCCAAATACACACAACCAGATCTGGGCCAGGAAATACCTTCCCATCATGGTGTGGCTCCAGAAGGGCAAGGAAAAGCTCTGACAAAGAACCCCTAGAAAACATTGCTGCTTTATATAACAAACAAGTAATGTCTTTGATGGTTAGTGGACCTCAGCTAAAGTAAGCTGAGTTTAGATTCCCCTCTGCTTTCTTCAAGGATTCCTCCATATTTCACTTTGCCACATTTTCCCCCAGCTACTGGACTAAGCATTTCTAACCAGTTACATACTGCATCTGGTGTCCACTTAACCATGTTTTGTTTATTTCTATAGCTTAGCCCAAACTTTAAATAAGATAACACTGGTATTTCCAAGGTCACTATGAGTTTAACACAAACAAACCACATTTCTCATGAGTTTGTTCTTTTTGGTCACATGCTTCAGGCCTATCACTCATGTTAAAATCCAAACAATTTAAAACGCCTAATGTGGGCCTATATACAAATAGTAATAAGTGGACACACATCACAGAAAAGCAGAGATCTCTAGCTTTCCAGTGATATATAGCATTCATTTCTAGCCATGGTGGCTCACAAATACCAGATGTTAAGCCTGGTCTACACTTAAAGCTTATACTGGCATAATGATGTTAGTGATTTTTTTTAAAGCTACTATATTATAAGGCCTAGCGTAGATGCACATACCAAAACAGTGTTTTTTCCAAGAGAGACATAAGCTACACTGGCACTTTCTAGCATCACTAGGAGCAGGACAACCCTTATGAAAAGCTGGTTGGGAGCAGGGGAGGAGTTGGCAGGTCCTGAACTCACTAACCACTCCTTATACCCTGGTATAACGCCACCACCACTGCACTTCTACCGGATTTTTCATCTGGAAACACAAAGCACAGTGGGTTTAAGTATTATCTTCTTATTACAGATGGAGACACTGAGGTCCAGATCCTCAAAGGACACAGGCGTTGCTCTGCTCAGCATTCCAATAACTAACCCCTAGATGCCAGCTGTCTAGTGGAATCCTCAGTCCTGAGATAGGTACCCAAGCTTCCCACACAATTCATAGGGAGAGTTAAGCACCTAAGACAAGGATCCTAAGAAGCCACCTAAGCTTGCCAGGAGCAGGAGGCCCAGGAAGGGAGAGGGGCTTGGGTGTCTAAGCAACTGACACAGCAAGCCCGGCTGATGGACTGGAGATTAGTGCCTCCCATCACTCAGGATCCTTAGCTGCAAATCCTCTCCTAGAGCTAGGTACTTAGGCCACGTCAGCTGCTTAGAGAGCCCAATGTCATAGCAGCCAAATCATCTCTCTGTCTCTCCTGCTCACCATTCTCACACTTGCCTTCCATTTCCCTGTGTCCCTAGCCATTTTTTGTGTGTAGATGCTCTGCATCTGGCCCTCCTACTGCAGGGTTTGACAGGTATCAGGCGTGCTGAAAGCACACCTACAGGTTTGGGCCCCACTAGCAAAACGGACATTCCCCACCTCCTAGTTTAAGAATTTTGCCTTGGGGTCTCTGGGACCTGAGCAGCTCATTAGCTGTGGGACAGCGTCAGGACTTATTACAAAGTAGCAGCCGTGTTAGTCTGTATCTGCAAAAAGAACAGGAGTACTTGTGGCACTTTAGAGACTAACAAATTTATTTCAGCATAAGCTTTCGTGGGCTACAGCCCACTTCTTCAGATGCATAGAATGGAACACACAGACAGAAGATATTTATACATACAGAGAATATGAAAAGGTGGAAGTACACATACCAATTGTAAGAGGCCAGTCAATTGAGAAGAGCTATCAGTAGCAGCAGAAGAAAAAACTTTGAAGTGATAATTGAGATGACCCATAGAAGGTGTGAGGAGAACTTAACATGGGGGGGGGGGAATTCAATTAGTGTAATGAGCCAACCATTCTCAGTCTCTGTTTAGGCCTAAGTTAATTTTGTCTAATTTGCATATTAATTCGAGTTCAGCAGTATCTCTTTGGAGTCTGTTTTTGACTTTTTTTGTTGCAAAACTGACACCTTCAAGTCTGTCACTGAGTGATTAGAAAGGTTGAAGTGTTTTCCCACTGGTTTTTGAATGTTATGATTCCTGATGTCAGATTTGTGTCCATTTATTCTTTTGCGTAGAGACTGTCCAGTTTGGCCAATGTACATGGGAGAGGGGCATTGCTGGCACATGATGGCATATATCACGTTGGTAGATGTGCAGGTGAATGAGCCCGATGGTGTGGCTGACGTGGTTAGGTCCTATGATGGTGTCACTTGAATAGATATGTGGCCAGAGCTGGCATCGGGCTTTGTTGCAAGGATAGGTTCCTAGGTTAGTGTTTTTGTTGTACGGTGTGGGGTTGCTGGTGAGTATTTGCTTAAGGTTGGGAGGCTGTCTGTAAGCGAGGACTGGTCTGTCTCCCAAGATGTGTGAGAGTGAGGGATCATCTTTCAGGATAGGTTGTAGATCTTTGATGATGCGCTGGAGAGGTTTCAGTTGGGGGCTGTAGGTGGCAGCTAGTGGCGTTCTTTTATTTTCTTTGTTGGGCCTGTCCTGTAGTAGCTTTGTAGATGCCAACTGGTGGAAACTTGGGCATCATGGTCTCATCCTACAACTTTACCGTCCAAAGTGGAAAGTCAGTATGAGCAGAGCAAACAGATTTTTGATGTCATTTTCTTAAGGCTGCTACAATCACTTCTGGACCAGATCATACAGGATTACTTTAATTTAAGCAATAATCCCAGTTGTTCATTACAAACAATTAAGATTATGAGGAGTGATTCCCCTTCACCAAAAACAAATCTATACTCAATAATCCTGCCTTTGTATTAATAATGCTTAGCATTTATGTAGCACTTTCCAGATTCAACAATCTGTACAACAATTAGCTAATTCTCACAAGACTCCTGGGAGGTAAGCAGTATACTTATTTTATAGGTGGGGAAACACACGTTTCAGTGACTTGCACAGAGCTTCACTGTGGTGGTAGTGGAGCTGGGATTAGACCTCATGAGTTCTTGGCTTCCAGTTCCATGCTCAGTACACCAGACCATGCTGCTGCCATCAATATTTTAATAGCCATCTACTGTTTATTTAGGGCCATTTCTAAATCTACAACCAATTGTATTTAAGAGAATCAATTTAAAATGTTTTTTTAAACACAAACCAATTGCTAACTTGAAACCCTCACTGAGGCCATAACGATTCCATATTTGGTGACCACTTTAGGGGTTATGTTCCTTCCAGACATTAGATTTAATTTAACGGATTTGAAAAATCCTGTGGATTTGCACTGCACTTTATCTTCCAATGCACTAGTCAGAACTTCTATGCTCACTGCTTATAATTGTTTCACCTGCCTTGAAATGGGTACAGCAAGCGCTTTGTCAAAACAGAAAAGCTGCAGTGAACTAGATACAAGTGCCTCAGCATCCTCAGCTGAAATACTATTTCATAGCTTCCTACAACATTACCCAGTCAGTTGTAAAGACAAAATTTATTACGCTTCTATATCAGTGCAAACATAACACAGCAATAGCTGAGATATAAAAAACTACATTAGGGGACTATTTTCCTCTCTCTGTGAAAAAAGTGCACCAGTGTCTTCCCTCATCAAGGTTCTAGCCCTATATTGCATTTAAAGTGCAGCCCTACAGAGTTTTAGAATGCCCATTCCCTCTTCAAATATAAACGTAGTACAAACCAATTTGCTGCTATTATGAAGCAG